CGATTATAATTTATGCCCCTCTCTCGTCTTCCATCGGCTTCCGTCGTCTCACCTGCACTTTCGACCGATAAAAAAAGAAGAGATTCGAAATCACACGAAAGAAAAGGGTTTTATCAGAGGCTAGCAATCTTCGAGAAAAAATTTTTTTCAAAGAACATTGTATAATTTTCTCGAAGTATAGATGAAATAGGTGATCGTTGAAATAGATATCATTTGATCGAGTTTTAAGTTAAAATTTGAGGAAAGAAATTCGATAAAGTTTTCGTGCTTCTAGTTTCTTAACAATTTTCATGTTATTTTCTATCAAATTATTATTATTAATAATTTCTTTCGTTTCGATTCACGTTTATAATAATAATTGCAAGTATAATTAAACTTACGATAATAAAAATTAAACTATAACAGGATCGTTCTAGCCAACGAGCTTTGCATTTTGCACTTTGCTTTGTTTCGTAACGTGTACACGGTTAATTCCTATGGCGTACACGGTGTTATGAATAGCGAGAACGTGTGCAATGAATCGTGCAGCGCGTGCAACTCGTGGAAAGGATATTCTATAGAAATCTGGGTTATTCCGCGCATCCGACGTTGATTATAATTTATTCCGGTCCGGGGCAGAAATGCTTCCGTCGTCGGCGAAATAATCTCTATCTTCGAGATCGTGTTGCAATACATCACGAGTCGTGATTCCATCCGTGCTCAGGATGTGAATTTCTGCTATGATTTACCCAGATATATCCTACCTCTTTCCCCAACTCAATAATCTTCTCGATAAATACACTAAATATTATTTTCTTCGGATAAACCTGCGACTTTTCGACGTTTCGTTGATTATCTCGATTGAAATTTAGAAAACAAATAAAACTAATATTCCAGAAGAATCCAAATATCTCAACTTACTTGATTTATCACGTATTACTCGTTATATGATTGATAACAAAATTAAAATTAAAATTCGAAGGACAATTTTTCCTATCTGTCTTGTTCGATTAAATAAATTGAACGTTGCTACTAAAAAGCAATCTTTTTCTAGTTTTCTAGTACAGTAGTAAGTAAATAATACTTACTTAAGTAAAATAACGTTTGAGAAAGAGACGTTTCTCCTCCTCGCACAATTCTCCAAACTTGGAGACGCAAGTGCGGAAAGGAGGGGTTCACGTGGCCACCTTCCGCGACCTACGAATTTACGAACATCCTGGAACCTACCACTGGATCCTCCCTTCCCCTTTCGACATGTATCGCATCCAGACCGACACAAATACGAACGTTTCGCTGTCGACACGCCACGGGCATGTTTTCTCAGCTGGTGCCCTAACTCTCGATCTCGAACGATCCTCCCTACCCCGTGCACCTTAGCCAGATCCTGGTGGATCCTTTCAAGACACGGTCGGCTACCCACAAAGGATCTGCCCTTTCATACGCACGTTATTATACTCTTTACAGAATATCCGTTCCACCTTCTCCCTCGTTCGAGTAGAGGGAAGAAGAGGTAGAAGAAGAGATGGAAGGAAAAAGGAGGACTCTCTCTGTCTCTATATATACGTATATATCTCTCTCGGATAACTAAGGCTTGCGTGTTGGTGTTTTACGTCGTGTGTACGTGCATATACGCCCACGCTTTGTGAAGATCGAGAGAGCCGGAGGGCAGGGTGGACGTTTCGACGAAAGCCTCGAGATTTTCTCGTTTAATTTGTTGTTATAGCTGCTTGAGACGCGAGGATCGGCCCATCCCCCTCGATCCTCAAACATTCATTATGTTTTTTTGTAACACATCCACCAACGCGACTGGAATTGCGGCTTTTACGCGCCACCCTGCTCGCTCCTCCGGAGATCTGTATTTCGCCTGTATCCGTCCTGTGTGTACGCCCGTCTTTATTAATAGAGGGAAGAAAAAGGGATGGATTAGAGGGTTGTGCACGAGGGCGGAGGCTGCGAAATGTGAACGATATATATTTAGAAAGAGGTAAGAGATGAAATATTAATTTTCTAATATAAAATATTTCGTATAGAATTGTGCTTATTATGATTATGTTCTTATTTTAGAAATGTTGAAATTTGTGAAAAAAATAATTTTACAATAGATGCATATTCTTCGCATATATTTCCACATTAAAATCAGCGTATAATCGCATAACACTATAATTCTATAATTTAAATGTGTAAATTTTGTGCCACGAAAAATTGAACCTTTTCACAAAATAAATAAATATATATATATAAACGTAATGCGATAAATCCATACTCACATCGCACGACATATTTTTCAGCTTGCACTAAGAACGATATGACGATATATAGAACAGATAGAAATTGCACTTGACGAAACTCAATCGAGCAATTGATCGCATCTTATCGACGTCACGGTTTGCATCTGATGCGATTAGGAGGCGGTATTATCGCGGTCCATTAACGATTGTTTGTTAAGAAAGAGCAAGTCAATCTTCCACGTTCGACGAATCGTGATGAATGCAGCTCAGACAGCCTCGAAAATCTAGTGAACCGTTTACAGGGCCTAGGCGGATCCCTTCTGTCCGATTTGCCACATTTTCCTCCTCCCTGTCTTCTCTGTCAGATCTTGCTGTTAGCTTCTCCAGACGAGGATTGGCAAGATCCTTGGATTTCAAGGAAAAAGAGAGAAAGAAAGAGAAAGAGAAATTATTCTTCGATAAGGATGGCTCGTTAATATCTTCCTACACGATTCGTAAACGTGCTGAGGAAAACGTGGCGAGCGTCTCTGGAAGGAAACACTGGCCCCATGCATTCCAAAAGAAGAGAATTTCTGTCTTTCACCGCTGTTTTAAAATCGTCTTCCGATATCATCCCATCGCGATCCACGTCCAATTTTTTTATTAACAAATCTATCAAATCCTGTACAAAGGAAAAATGTATTGGCAATGTTTTGGAAAAATAGATTAATGAAATATGAATGTAACACATTTTGTTTTTTTATTTATCGCATAATAGAATCAGTAGAAATTGATATGAGAATCAGGACAAGGTTTCTTCAAGGAATTTAAATTAAAAGCGAGATAGAAAATATATTATTAAGGTTGTTACCTTCACGGCTTCGTCTGGGTTTTCATCGTTCTGCAGTTTAATTAAGCAACCACGCATCATGGGAAATATGTGCTCCTTTTTTAATTTATGAGTTCTAAGATGATCGTATGTCTATTAAATTAAGAAGGATAGAAGAATGGATTAATTAAAAGGAACAATAAAGATTGAGAAATATCGAACAAAATGGTTACTTGATAAGCAAAATGAATCTTCTCGTCTATAGTTCCCCGAAGAATCACCGAAAGACTTTCGATCCAATTGTCACAGTGTATCTAATTGGAAATTATTCTTTGCGATAATCGATCGATTTAACCATCACCCTCGGTTTAAGTTGATTATAATATTTCATAAAATATTGATGTTACCTGTAAAGCATTACGTTTGTCGATTACTGAAAATATTTTATCGATCAATAGATGGCGAATATTTTCCGTGAAGTCGAAACCAGCATGGAACAGATCTCGAAATAGTATTCTGCTTATGGGACCCATTATCTGAATGCATTTTCGATGAATAATTGCCAAGGCTGTTCGAAAAGTAAATCGAATTAAAGAGAAGAGGAAGAAAAAAAATTGGTGATGGTTACTGTAAATTTCTAACCTTCAACTTCTCTGTAATTGAAATGCGTGTTCCGTGCCAATCTTTTAAATTTATTTACGTTTTTTGTCCTAAACACGATCTCCGCTAGAGTATCATTTAACATATCAACCGCCTGTTCCGCCGGCATTTTGATTACTTTCTTTTATACTTGTAAATTTTGAATATAAAATTTTGAAAGTTAACGAAAGATGTTTGTCCCTTGAATGATGCCACGTATCATTCGATTCGATTCTTTTTAAGGAAAAAAATCGATACATACTTCTACTTTTTAAATTTAATTGTTTCGGCGTATTTCGACGATGTTAAGGCATGTTGAATTTATAGTATTGATTAATTTATTTGTAATATTAAATTTTGTATTGTAAATTTATTTGAAATATAAAGAATTCAAAGTGTCTTTCATC